ACTGTTAAATATGCCAAAGCTCCAGGGATTTAAAGATGGCTGTGTTTTGGCAGCTGTCTGGATGACTTCCTATTTGTTTTAATTGGGATTTTTAACACATTTCTTTATGAATTTTGTAAAAAAGTACAACAGATCTCGACTAAAAGTCATAGCACACTATCCCCGATTGAGCTGCATGTTTTTATATATAATTGGTTTGGGTTTTCTCAAAGCTGCAGCGTGAGTTATGTGGTGAAATCCACGTCAGAAGAATCCATGAGAAGAGCAAGAAGTGTGCTCCAGTGCTTATGTTTTGGCACACTTTACAAAACCACATCTGACTCTAATGAGGCTGAACGAACAGAAAGTCCAGATTGCTTTCAGTCCCACAGTGGAATTGAAACGCATCTGACTGGAACCCACGGAGCGTGAACCATCTCCTCACCCACTGCGATGATTTCCACGCCTGCATTCTTCAGGCGGTTCGCTGCAGCGATGGCGTCATCCTGAGACTTCCCGTCAGTCAGCAGGACCAGGAACAACGGCGTGTCCAACCTCGCGCCTGCCTCGGGCCTCATGTTCTCCTCCATGACATGGAGCAGCGCCTGGCCTGGGAATGTGGACGCCGGGTTACGCGCCGACAGATATACGGTACGTTGAAGGTGCGCAGTGTGACGTTGGCTCACCAGTGAATGTGTTTCCTCCTTTATATCTGAAGTTCCTCACTGCCTCCAACAGCTGCTCTTTGGTGGTGAAGTTGTTGAGATGCCACTCTGTCCGAGGGTCTCCGCTGTACTGGGTCAGACCTGGGACAAAAAAAAACACCTCATTAAACGAGATTTTGTTATCTTGGACACACTATTAGCAATGATAAACCGGTTCTACTTTAAACGGTTAACTACAAGATCCTTTTACGTTCATCTACTGTTGATACTTCAAGTAAAACCAAAACCGTAGCAGCTGTAAAATCTTTGGCACTCTATAAATCCATTGTATTTTGTCGTTTTCTGAGAGTATTTAAATGGAAATAGTGTAGATTGATTCTTAAAGGATAAATAATTTCCCCTACAAAGTGTGATTACAGGACTTTTTGGTTAAAATCACTGTGAATAAAGGAGCCACTGACGGATGAAATAAAAGGAGCAGGAGGGTCAAACGGTGTGCAGCTATTAGGTTTGTAATTGCATTAGTTTAGACCTTTTGGAGTGGCAGCCATGTGGTTGCTATGGTGTCCCTAGTGGTTGCTAGGCAAGTCACAGGTGGTTTCTAGGATGGTAAGCAATTTGCACAGCTGCTAAGTATTGACTTTGTGCATTTCAGGAACAAGAAGGTGGTCTGACTGATGGGTTTGTCAGAACTTTTCAACTGCCCTGGAAGAGGAAGTGGATTGCAAACTGCAGTGCAAAGTGTAAATTCACACCGCTACTCCTCTGACGTGGATTATTATATCATTAAAAGTATGGATATAAAATGTAAATAGAATATATATTTAGCTGTGTTAATTCTTGTGGATAAATCAGCTTTCAGATTTTTTTAAAAAAGTGAAAATCATCTGGTTTAGTTTATGATGAATGTAAAAAATGTTTAAACAATTCAAGAAAATTAGGTTTGTAATTGCATTAGTCTAGGCCTTTTGGTGGTTGCTAGGTGGTTGCTACGGTGCCCCTAGTGGTTGCTATGCAAGTCACAGGTGGTTGCTCGGGTTGTCGGTGATCTGTCTGACTTTGATGGTTTTGTAGTAACGTTCTGGCTGCACTGGAAGTAGGAATGTATCACAAACTGCAGTGCAAAGTGTAAACTTCAGTTTTTCTATGACAAATTATACATTATTAAA